GAAGAATACAAAATTTAAAGATCAACAATTTTATTTTAAAATTAAAATCTCGTTTAATACAACATAATGCGAAAACACGAATAACTTCGTAGTTTTAATCATATCATTGGGCTAAAATGACTTAGTTACATTTGGCTAAAACTTTTAATTGCAATTGGAGAATTGCTTAAATTGTATAAACCAAAACTTAAAGAGCATTAGACAGCCAAAGAAGTATAATAAGTTTGTAAGACCTGTTATAGTAAGCTGTAATGGATATAGTTTCTCTTTCTTTCAAGATATTCTCATTCATTTTATGTTATTGAAACGACCTCTATGGACGTACATTAAAACTAAAAACTATATTAGGCGAATCACGTTACTAGAATGCATCAGAAGTATGCGAAAATTAATAATATACATAATACTAGTTACCTACAGATAATAACTAATTTCATGTAAGTTTTATGCTGTAAGATGAATGAGTGTAGCTCGTGATTTTTCTTGGTTATGCTGTTGGCGTTTCCGAAATCAGAATACTATTTTCCAATTTCCATTGTCCATGATGGTTAGACAAAAGAGAAATGAAGAAGATTAGGGTTTTTTTAGGTATACCGTAATATTAAAAACACAATCTCTCGTATACTTACATGCGTTTGAGTGTACGACTCCACATATTACTTTATAATCAAAATTCATAAGTACCTATAGCAAATGTTTGCATATTATTTTTTAATGAAGCTTTTATACATTCACAAATCCACACTGATGAAATTATGATGACCTTCTTCTTATTTTCCATGTTTAAGTAAAAATACATTTTCGCAAAAGAATAAATTGTATTTATATACTAAGTAAAATGTGGTTATATTTGGCAGTTGATTTACTCATAATTATCATTACAAAAGTATGGCTTAATATGGCACGGTATCTACATTCAATAGCGTGCGCGCTCTGGGTGTTCAGCACCAACCGGTGTTACTAGTTCGCGGATGGGTGACCACCCGGGATTTTTAGTAACAAATCCTTGGCACACATACAAGTATTCTGAACCAACTGTGCCCTTCCCCAGAGTAAAAACCGAATAACCATAAAACAGTTGATGCTTTAAAAAAAATGTCTATTTATTTTTGTTAATTATATAATATTTATATGCAATATAACTACATGACTATTAATTATGGATATTAGATTTAAGTACCTGACAATTAAGAATTGTTTATTATATTTTTGGCATGATTATATCTATATGGTTATAAAATATGAGTTATGTATTTATAAATAAAGTGAATAATCCCAGTTGCATGCAGGCTTACAGAAAAAAGTAGACACATCCAACTTCAGGCAGTTCTGAGATTCGATGATATTAGAACTTTTTTACTCCCCTTACTTGTTATGCATTTATGAATATTATTTTATTCCAAACGTAAAGGAAATTTCATAATGTATTTAAAGTAAAAAATGTCTTGTTAAAGATAGAAAACATATTTTATATGTTTCAAAGAAATAATAAATAAACATATAAAATCCATAATAATATTATGATCATGATAAAATTATACTTTTTTCGCAGTATTATTAGTGTTTATAACTATGTTCTGTCCGGGCTCGAAGATACAAACTAAGAAAATAAAAAACATTCTAATTTAAAGATATTAAACAAGTATTTCTATTTGTGGTTAAAGACAACTGCAATCTACGACTTACGAGCAGGGCACTATAAAAGGTGTATTACTGTAGGATACCATAGGTATACATAATAATATATTATTATATATCAAATACAATAATTAACAATCGTTATAATTATTGTATAATATAATTTTATTAAATAGTAACACACACATAAATGACAATAATTTTTGTTATTTCAAAAATAACAAAGTTTTAATAAACATTTATTTTGTAATAACAAATAGTATTCAAGTAGAATCATCAGAATCATTGAATTGTCAAACATCCACAAACGACACACGGATTAAACTATATTATTGTTATATAATAATATATCTTTTATATCTTTTTTTTTTTGAACTAGTAATTATCTATAAGCTAATCACACACTAATGTATACCTAGAGGTATTTTAAGTTCTTTTTTATTGCGCCAATAAAAAAAAGTGTATTATTAGGTCTAGCGACTAAGTAAATTTGGAAAAATATTTCAGCTGCCCATAACTGACGACAAGGAGAGATATGAACTAATGTGAATAAGTATATTATATACTACGAAAATAGGGCATATATTTTCTAGCTACAAATAATATTCAAGTAAAATCACCATGAATTGTTAAACACACCACACAACATACAGATTAAATAATATTATATTCCTAGTAATAATTATCTATGCACTAATCACACGCTAATGTATATATTTAGTTCTATAATATTATGGCAAAAAAACAATGCATTCTTAAGGTCCAGCGATTAAGTGAATCTAGAAAATATATAAGTGGCCTAGACCTGACGACAAGGGCAGATATGAAGTAGTGTGGATAAACATATTAATATTATCATATATTATGAAAAGTGAGCATGAATTAAATGATTCCAATTGCATTCGTTGTGTTAAAAATATCAATGTAGTTTTAATTTTGTGGATCTGTAAAATTTAAAAATGCAATAAAATATTTGCAGTTTAATGTTGAGGTCATTAATAGAATGTAACTTGTAACTGTTAGTTAAAATTTTTATATAGTAAAAAATATTACTTTAAAAATTAAAATAATTGTAACACTATAGCATTAACATTTGGCAAAATTAATAGACGTAAAAATATACGTATCATAATATGAATATGACTTAACAGAATATCAAAATGTCATTATAACACTTTCATTTTTAAAAGAATAAATTAAAACGCGTGCTCCAATATAAGAAGAAAATATACCAGTTAGGCACCTGTTAATCAGTAAAAAAATCACATGGAAATATGCGGTAAGTAAAAAATTGACATGGTAAAAAAAATGGACACAAGTGAGTAAGTGTATAGGAGTTGTCGAGTATGCCATTGACTATTGTAATAGATGTGTTAGATTTGAATTCAATGTAAAATAATTTTATACAAAAATGATTCTGAGCGGAAAAGGTGTGTCAGCCATCCTTATAGAAATAATCAAATTTAATAATTTTAATAAAAATTAATAAAAATTAATAAAATCGCATGGCTTTAAATAGCATTACTTTTTGTTAAAGGTAGAAAACTTATGCTAAATCTTTTATTACATTTTCAAATGTTAGCCATAAAAATAAAAATATTTATGAATTTTTAACTGGAAATTAATTTTCAAATTTTAGGGATATTGTCAACATTTAAATGCATATAAGAAATAATTGCTACCAAAAATAACTTATGAGGAATCTTGCATTGAATTCCCAAAATTTTTAACCGAGAGAACATTTTGGATCAACAATAATTTAAAAAAATTGTTCAAAAAATTCGAAAATTTCTCATGATTATAAATAGCTCAAAGAGAAACAAAATATTTTGAAAATGTTATAATGAATAGAAAATAATAGTATTAACATTTGGTGAAAATGTCAAGTATATATACAGTTGTTCGTTTTTTAATTGCAATATATATAATATTGATGTAGGTACTACTGTACTAGTATAGTTTTTTAGTTTTCGGTATTTTTTTTTTGTTTTGTTAAAAGTAGAATAACTTGCGATTTATCTTCTACACAATTGTATTATGTTAGCTATGAAAAGAAAATTTTTATAAATTTTTAACAGAAAAATAATTTGCAAATTTTTGGGATTATGGAGAATTTTATCAAAATTCTGACACCAGACAATCATAAAAATTACTATAGATTTACCCAATTTTTGTTTTTAAATACACTATTTACAACTCATATAAAACGTCGCATTACACTTTAATGTTTTTTAATCGAGGAAAAAATTATTTTTCGAGGTACACTAAAAACATAAAAACTATTTTGTCAAAAATTGGTTTTACTTGAAATTTCACATTTTTCCAAAAGAGAATGTCAGCTTAATATTTATTTTCTCTCTCAGACTCAAGCACAACATAGATAAAACGCTTTCTTCTAAAATAATTTTTTATAATTTTTTTAGTAACTTAGAGTAAAATCACCTGTACCAAAAATGATAGATGATAATGTATATTTGTGGGTATGACATATCGGTTTTATATTTCATTATTATTTGACTTTCAATCGAACTAGATTCATTTTCTAATTTTGAATTTAGAAAATTCACAAATTATTTATCAGTTAAAACATAAGACATTTTTCTTATCAAAGGTATCTAAAATAATATAATTTAATAGAAGATTCCCCACAAATTATTCAACGTTTAACAAAAAAATAAAAGTTTACTGGAAATTAAATTTAATTTTTAGTAGGAGTTTGAATTTAACATTTTTAGAATATTGGATATTTAAGAGTTATCCCAGGATATAATTCTCATTATATCCCCGGGATATTAATAACCTTAGAATATTGGATATTTAACAATAATTTAACGATTTTTTTTTGTATTTTGTTGTAACTCAAAAACGAACAACCGTATACAATTTATACTATAGATACTTGAAATTCTCACCAAATTTTTACATTAGCATTTCCCATACATTATAACATTTTCAAAATATTTTGAATATTTTTGAGCAATTTAAAGTTATGTGACATTTTCGAAGTTTTTTTTAAAAAAACTGTTTCACTTGGGTAAAAAGTTTAAAAATTGAATTCAAGGTTCCTTGGAACTCTTATGTTTTTTATGGCAGTTCAAAAATATTATAGATACACATTATGCTCGATTATTTTTTTGAGTTATAAGTTCAAAATTTGACAAAATTCATCAAATCCCGAAGAGTATTTTCCAGTTATTGAAATTCATAAAAAAATTTGCTTTTCTTTTCTTACATTTGCCAGTTTAATTTTAATAGAAGATTCCTTATAAGTTTGTCTACCTTAAAAAAAAAAGTTTAGAGGAAAGTAACAATATTTATATAGATTTATAATTTATATTATCGAATCTGATTATTTATACAACTATGAGAACCTCCGCTCAGAATCGTTTTTTGTATACAATGATTTATCATAAAATTCAAATTTAACTTTAACATATCCATTACAATAACGTCATACTCGAAAACTGTCGTAGCAGTGCGGTACCCACTTGTCCACCTTTTTTCAAATTGGTTTTATTTCCAATAACAGCATGTGTCAGGATTATTATTATTGTGAAAAAGAAAACTGATATTTTAGATTTTTAAGTAAATTTTGTCAAAAGTGTCATTTTCCTTGATTCTGGTATACCTAGTATCCGTCAGCGAGGTCAACAATATCCGGTTGTATATTAAATATGCGCCTGCTGCAAATGAAAACATAATATTAATTCACAATTTATAACAATGCAAAGTATCAATACCTAACTCTTATTAATAATAGGTACAAACCTGTGAGCCTCGGTCATCAACTGGTATCTGCGTCTCAAATCACCCTTCAATTGTGGCTTGACAATGTTGAACGCCGCATTAAAGATATTTTCTGCGCTGGAACTCCCAAAGTATTTTAACTCGAACTCAATGCATTCGGCCCACAAACCTGCAATTGAGACGATCTAATACAATCGATTCGATGCGATATAAATATAAAATATTAGCCTTTTCGAACTTTTCGGTTTTTATCTCAACTAGGCGCTATGGGTCAATTTAGGACAGTCGGACCACACGACAAAACGCCAATAAGTGCCGAAAATATTGAAGACTGTGATAATTACATGATAGGTACATATAATATTATGAACAGTAATATTTATCTAAGTCAAATTTTTTTTCTGTGACATAATGACCATTTTTTATTGGGTGTAGCTCATAAGCGCAAAATATGACCCAAACGCAACCCAAAAGCGCAAAAATAAACAACCCATAAGCGCAAATCAATTTTATAAAAAAGTGTATTTAATTAAAATCGTAGTTATTATTAATATTGAATTAAGTATTTACAGTGTCACGGTGATATTAAAAATGGTAATAAAAAATAAAGTAAAAATAGAAAAAAATAAAAAATATAATGTTGAGTATTATTTTGAGTATATTATTTTAAAATTAAATTTGAAATTTGAAGCCCACTGACTTCAAATATTCCAATCTGGAATTTTTTTTTTCATTATACATGGTCCAAGTTTTTGTATTGGAGATGCCTTTAGATTTGAGATTCGTATAGTTTTTCGACCATTTGACTGTATTTTTAAATAAACTTCTGCTTGGTGTTCTTTAATCACTTCGATAAAACTATAAATAGATGGGCGAGGGTTATAAAATTGATCTTTCAAATGACGGTGATATAATTCTGGACCATTGGTTGTCCTTGGGTCATTCTAAGGTGGCTCAGCCCAGAGGTGTGGTGGGTATCTGCTGTCATTTACAATAAAATTTGCTAAAATATAATCTGAAAATGCTGATATATTCTGATTGTCGGGAGCAATAGAAAATAGTTCATAAAATGCATCATTATCAATGTGTTACGATAAGACACAGACAAATGCAACAACCGTCGCGACGCGTTGCTGCAATATGTCTTGAAACGGGTCATATACATGCAAAGCGTAGAGCGTCAAGCGTTAGGTCAGTAAAATATTGTATCAGGTTATACAATTGATTTTTGCGCTTTTATCCCACTACCAAGGTACAAAAGCACAAATTCATTTTGCGCTTTTGAGTTATCGAAAAAAAAGGTCGATTTACGCTTTCGGGCTTCATCGTTTTTTATTATTCTAATTTTACCAGTTTTTGTATCCCAATTAAAAAAAACTCAATTATTGTTAGATTTTTATCTTATCCTATTCAAAAATATACCTGAACTGCTGATAAACTTTGTTAATGAGACTCGATGATGTTTTAATGGGCATTTTTATGAAGTGGATTATACCTAATGCGAAAAAAAATGTATAATAAAATGTTCCTACTTCTATCATATGGGAAAATTACCCAAATATTGCACATGTACAACATTCGGTATGACGGGGGATAATTACTATCCACATACTTATTATCCATCTAACCCAGAGTCGATATCTCAACTTAATGACATTTATTCTAATACAAATAGGCAGGCCATAAAAAATTTCAGCAGACCAATATAATATAAGTACTGTGTCTTAAAATTACAAAAAAAAAATGTGTTCTCTCCGGCCTACAATAATTAAAATCTTTATATTTTCCAGATACCTAATATATGAATATTAGAAATATTGTGTACCTAAGAATACTAGATTATTCCTTAAAATATTTCGATTTCAATTTAATTATATGCCAATAAATGCCCTATTCACCGATTCTTTAATTTAGTCAATCGCCGCCGCATTATAATTTTAAATAAAACATCCACAATGTTTATTTTATTAGTATTCCATTATTACTTAGTTTACTAAAAGTGAAAAAAAAATTAAATTATTCATAGATACTATTAAAAAAACATTGTATATTTATATAAGGTTACATATAAAATATTTAAGGCTAGTCACAAATCAAACATTTATACATTTCATTTAAATAATACATTAATAATAATATCATTTGACCATATTTTCCAATATTTAAGACCAATTTAAAAAAAAAAATGTATTTGCCTGGTGCAGAAAAATTGCAGACTGTTCAAAATGTAACCTTGATAAATTTCAGGTATGCATACTCATGAAGGATACACCGAAACACCTGAAATGATTTACTCTATTGGCGCCTATATACTTACCTATATCGATAAAATTACGTCACATCATTCCGAGACTACTAAGCCAATAAAAATTAATAATCGATTATCTTTTTAATATAGATTATAATAATTTTTGTTGCACTTCAGAAATTATATCAACATATTATAAATATTAAAAATTAACTCACTGGTGTCATTGTCTTGGTGGCTAAATTTCATGCACGCGAGGTTGTACAGTTTTTTTATGATGTTGAGGTTCATCTGGGATTGCTGTTTCTCGCACTGAATCATTTCCATGTACAAATTTTTGGTTTCCGGTTCTAAGTTTATCAATTTATTGAAAAGATCTCGAGAAGAGGATATGCCATCGTACATGTGGCACCATGCAAGATAGTCGACTTTGTACACCGTGTTGATCTCTTCATAGGGACTGTAGGCACCTTCTTCATAAAACTCCCCAAGCTATAAAAAACGAACGTTAAAACTTGTGGCAAATTATAAAGAGACTAGAGACTCCAAAAAAAAATAACATTTAAAAGTGCGGTGTTGACATGCTCCACTATTTTATGTCTGTTTTCCATGATCGCTTTTTGTCATCTACGTAATTCAAAATGTATTCTACCATCTTCATTCATCACCAAATCACCAATTCTGAATTCACAAAGAGTGAACAACCACATCTTACTACTCAACCAATTGATTCTCCACGTTGGCGACCGATGAGGAAATTGTGATTGGACTCAATACATTTTGCAATGTACCTATCCAATGATCTTCCTCGAGCTAATCCGAATTCCAAATAAGCAAAAATATCAATCCCTCAATCAATATAAAAAAACACCAAAAACCATTTCGCATTCCAAATAAAAAACACACATCTCTACTCAACCCTCCTCCTGTCTAGATCAAACCATAGGTACTATGTGTCTCCGTTGCTTCTGACTACAAACATATCATATAACCTAATGACTTATAGTACTCGCAATCTAAATTTCATTTAAATCTTCCCGCTTTAATGCTTACGTAATTGCTGAGCTATAATCTTTTGGTTAGTAGGTAGCTAAATTGGGAGTACAATGAATGGGTTATTTACTCTATTACGAGATTCATGTTATGTTTGTAAATCGTATGCTATCTCAATGACTTATTGTTTAAATTTATGTACAAATAATTTTTTTGTTTATCGACGACCAAAAATGCCGGAAAAATGATATGATTTTTTAAAATCGATTAGATCTTTAAAGTATCGATATAACTTTGATATGCGTGCATATATTTTTTCCATACTCCATATACCTAATATACCGAAATAATAATAAATAGTATCATACCATTGTGATGTCGCAGTACTGTTGCAAAAATGAATCCATAATTTCCCACAACAGTAATGCCTTGTTTTCCAGTGCAAGATTGCCGGCATCAAAAATCCTTTTTATTGTTGTACAACTACTATTGTGAACAATATGATAATCCAAAACTTCGGCCCACACGAGAACGTCATCTTTGTTGTGATCGACAGCCAATTTTAAAATTTCAGGACGATCATCATAGGAAATAGTGGCCTTCGTCACGAACAAAACGTTATTTATTTACAATTTACAATATATTATTATACTGACAAAACCTACCCAATAAACATAAAACTCTGGTTCGAGTACACCTCCAAAGTCAAAGTGGGCCATCTGGAATACGTTTTTCATTTTCCTTTTCACGAGAACATTAACATCCCAATTGTTTATACTTTTATTAATTTGCCAAATTTTTACTATATGTTCGGTAAGTAATATCATCAAATTTCGTTTTTTCATGTCACTTGATACATTTTGCACTCCTTTTTCGTATGTTTCAATACAACACCTATAAAATAAAATCTTATCAATATATATCATTAATGTGAAGGTACCTACCTATGAAATAAAATCAAAATACATTTATGCAGGGTGATTCTTTTAACAGTAGATCACTAATCATAATCTATAGAAATGTTGAAGTACAAATGTTTTTTATTTTTAATATTATGTTATTACATAGGCAATTCAAATCACAAAACTACATTTTTAATATATATATTTTTTTTTTTAATGTACTTTAAGAGGACGTTTTACATATGTTGTCTCCTTCTTACGAGTGCATAACATATGGCAGATCACATTTAGCTCTGTTGGCTTAAAAATTAGAGTGAATTGACCTCTTATTAAAATTTAAGGTAAGATTATTATGGAAGGCTTCTTAAGGGCTTTTAATTATATTTAAATTTTAAAGGGAGTTATGAGTATTTTAAGTTGTTCAAACAATTTACAATATTAAAATATAACTCTCTTTTAAATTAAAATATAATTAAAAGCTCATGAGAATCCCCTCATAATAATTTTATCTTTAATTATTAATAAAAAGTCAATTTACTCTAATTTTTAAACCGACAGAGCTAAACTTGATCTTTTGAGTGTAAAATTTGGTAAGTTAAGAATTTGTAAGACGGTTACATAATATCTAAATAATGCATAAGATATATTTTCAAAAATATTAATAGTTTTTTTTTTAGATAAGCAGGCAGGTTTAAGTGTTTACTCCTAAAATAATCACCCTGCAGTTATAGACTCGAGACAAATTGTATTTAATAATTTTAATACAATTAATACAATTATGTGAAACAACCTCGCTCTATCTTTGAAGTCTGTGCTGTATCCAAAGAAGCTAATATCGTGGTCGAAAATGAACCCTTCTGAGCACAATGTAGCAACTTTATGCCACATGAGATCACTTCGTTTGTACGTTTCTATTAAATCACTAAATGATGTAATAATAAAACAATTTTAGTATGTTTTGAAAAATAATCTACTAACTAATATTATATTATGTATGGGTACCAAATAATTTCGTATTGTAGTCTCCATATGGGTTTTACTTCTATAGATCTGTCCAATAAAAGGATATGAAAATCGATGTCCCGTTCAAACTTTTTTATAATATTTCTATATACTTGAATTGCTATAACTTCATTCGATTCACCGCCTCCTACATCACCCAAGTGCATCACTTCAATCCACAATTGTTCTAAATAAAGAGCTTTTTTATTTGGGTGTATTTTAATTCCTTCTACGAAGTATTGCCTAGCTTTCTCGATATTATGTTTTTCATATTCGAACGTCCCTGCAGCTATAAACATTTGGGGATCACATTTTTTTTTCGTCATTAGTACGATTAGCGGATGCATTTCATTGGTGATCAACTTTTTCTGAAATCAATAAATGGTTGATGTTAAAAAGGTTTAAAGATTTTTCGTAATATTATGTTGATAAATATTACAAAATTTGTTTATTTCCACTGTTGATTGATGAAAGAAAAAGTTTTTATCTAATATTGTTATTTTTAAAACAATGACCACTTATATTTTTTCAAAATATTATAATACATTCTTGTGCAAAATATCTCTTTTAGATTCTGAGCAAAGCAATGAATCTATTGATTTTACAATGATGTATGTTTTTTATTTTTTGTGACAGTCATAAAAAAAGTATAAAATAATTTATGTATATTTTATAATGGGTAGACTTTTCACTCCGAGGGACAATCCAACGAGATGCCAGTAGGAGTGTAAGACCATACGCGGAAATCGAGGGAAGCCTGAGGAGACTAAGCTAACTAAAAATTTTAAGTACAGGTTTCAGTAACTTGGTCGTTACAAATTACATAAGTCATAAGGTTCCTAAACATATAATAATTCATCCACGTCGTATGTGCCAGGTTCGATGAAAACACAAATAAAAGAGTTTTGAACTGTTTATGGACTTTTTCAATTTTTTTTCTATAAGTGTGAATAAAATTTTATTTGTTCGTTAAAAAATGTAAAAATATCATAAAAGGTTTCTGATATATTGTTACATTATCAGTTGAAAAATATTAAAAATACATTGAAATGTTTTTCTTTTATAATCATTAAGGTTCAAATATTGACAAAATGTCTGAAATTGAAGATGATGTAGTTGAAAACGTATTAATTATTATTGTATAATAATTGTATATAATGTATAATTCTTATAGCTAAGAATTGAACGCTTAAATCAAGGTTCAATGTAAGAAGTTGATTCTGTAACCAAAATATCTAAAAATGAACACAGCTCTTTTAGAGTTATTTTAAGTTCAAATTTAGACAAAATTACATGTTATGAAAAAAATAACAATTTTAGTCATTTGTAATTCGGTTTCAAAACAGCCCAATTTTTCATAAGTAAATAAAATATTTTTCCAGCATCACTGATAATTTAAGAATACTTTAATGAATAATATTAATTTAACTTACCGGCTACAGTTTTAATAATAAGTAATAACAATATAAAATATCCTTGACTGGCATACCGTCTCCGCTCAGAATCGTTTTTCATATACAATGATATTATATCATTGAATTCAAATATTTTAATACTATTCATTACAGCTACCTTCTACTCACCTAATGTACTTACCTATGTACTTATTTTTTTTTTACATTTGGAAAAAAGATAACAATAATAATAATAATATCATAAGTCAGTAATGATAATATTATTTGGAGCATGCTCTAAAATAATAAATATTTTGATGAAAATTGAGTATAAAAAAAAAAAAGAAGTAGCACATTATTCAGCCCACAAGTAATAATTCTGCCATGCCATTCGAGAACTATATTTTTTGAATAAAGCCACGGTACACGCCCAACTCCTTCAAAATACGCCCATTCCTTTCGATCGTAAATTTTTAATTAGGAACAAAAAGTTTTTAGTGCTGCTAAATTGGTAACACTGTTTCAAGAACACCCATTATGGCTTTCATTTTCTTTGTTTAAAATACAGATATATAAACATGTATGTTTATATATCTGTGGTTTAAACCGTCGCAGAGCAATCTACTTTCATTCTCACTGAGCATAAAGACTTACCAATCAAATTGATCAATAACATTTAAAAACTTAAGTATAATAATATATTGCTCATAGATAATTTTGTACTCCCAATGCCGTGTAAAGAAATGGGTAGCTCCAGGCAGCAAAGATTTGAGAGTGAAAAAGTTAAAGGTGTGATTTTTAGTAGAACATTCAGATGTTTAGTGATGGTAACACTGTTTTTTGGCACAACCGTGACAATCATTTTTTTTTTTCATACACTCGTAAAGCAATCTACTTTCATTCTCCCTGCGCATAAAGACTTACTAATTAAATTAATCAATAATTTAGAACCTAATCTTATAGATTTTGTACGCCTGACGTAAAAGGTTGGTAGCCCTGAGTAGACGATCTCTAGGGGCGGTTAAGTTTTTAAAGTGTGTTTTTTAGTAGAAATTTCATGTTTTAGTCGTGGTAACACTGTTTTTGGTCACTCCCGTTACTTTCATTTTCTTTGTTTATAGTTTTAACTTTCGCTGAATCCTAAACTTTCATTTTCTCTGCTCATGAAGACTTACCAATCAATTTAATCAAGAACGTCAAAACTTACATTCATAATAAAATATATAGATAATATTTTACGCCCAATGTAATGCTAAAATACTAGTAATATACTAATATATATTATTTTTTGTTTTTTGAGAGTGGTGAAAAGACTTTAAAGATAGCTTTTTAGTTGAACATTAATATGTGTTAAAACGGAATTACTAATAAAATGTACCAGTTCTTAACACTACAATGATTACAAATAAAACATTGAATTTTTTACCAATGTGACTTTTTATTAAATATGTATGGGATTTCTTGTATGCGATAGGTTAGATTGACTGTAACCGTCATAAGGACAACTCGCAAAATGGTAAATTTGCCAACTTCAGTAATTTTAGGTATTATTTAAATAAGTACAATCGTCAAGCATCATGATTTACTTACGTTTTTCCATTGAAATTCCATGTACTCTATCAATAACACACATTCGATAGAAAACATTTGAAACATACTGAAGTACAAGTGATCAATTCGATTGGACATCAGAGTCATCATTTTGGTGCCGTCGCGAATGTACTCTGGTGAGAGATTATAATTTTCATGCTAATAAGAAAATGACAACAACCAACATTAGTATGTTACGACTCCCATTTGATTATTTATTACTGAATAGAACCTACGTGGATTGCTAAATCGCAAATGTTCATAACGTTCAGTTCCAGTTTTATAAGTTTCAGACACTCGCCTTTGGTAATTTCTCTGGTAACAGATTTCTGGATAAACAACGTTCGTTCATTGATAAGGTTTCTAAAAAGAAGAAAACACCATGTATAACAATAAAAAATATAATTTGATAGTGCGCTGTATAAAACAATGACAATTGTGTACTCACTTGACCAAATGTTCTTTCATAAGTCTGTAGGTCCTTAAAAAACTAATGTCAAAATGTTCATTCGGCATGGCGGCGAAGTTTGTATATAATATATAGTTAAAACCTTGCAAATACAGCCGACAGATGTATTAAACTATGTATTATATGGTTCGTGAATGAAATGTAAGTATGGCGGAACTCGTCGACAGTACGTGCACGAGCTTACATCAACCGAGATGTTATGTCGGTGTTCACCGTTGGGGGTTTTTCATCGGTGTTGATATACCAGGTTAAAGTTGACCGACAGCAGCGCTGATTTGTCTAAGCGATCGATGGGGGTCGCTGTACGAGATGACGGATTAGACTTCCGCCGCTGTGGCGGCAGTGTTGCCGGTGGTAGTGACGGTAGTGTTGGAGTTGATGTTTTTAGTGGTGGTGGTGATGGTGACGTAAGCGATAGGGATGGCTGTTTTTCGGGGATTCAAAAATCGATTTCAATCTGATGCTGGAAGCGGGTGGGTTGCGCTGGCCCGTGTTCCAACCCCCGCCATCTCAACACTTCCAGAACCAGCCACCGTGGCCCTCGTGGACCTTTGGCTGCAATGGCGAACCTAAAAAAACAATTAGCCACTTTATTTGAAAAATAAATAAAAACGTGTTCTATGTAGGCAGATGTTTCCTTGCCGATTCGAATTTACTAGACTACCTGTGTAGTCCACGCATAGTCCTTAAATATTAGTACCGAGATCAAACCACAGGGGTTTCACCGAAACAACCAATTGAACAAATTTTTTCTCGAGTTAAAGAATCTCAGGGATCATTGAGGGCACACTGCACTTTTCATCAGGTTATTGGCTCATTTTTATAACCTATAATACAATTTCATGAATTTTAGTCATAGTGTTTGTGTGACTTTCTTTTGTGTCCAATGCTTTCTGTAAATTGACCACATATACGTACACCATGCAGCATGTAAAAGTTAAATTTAATTTAAATCATGGATAAATTATTTGTAATAATTTGTATTATTAAAATATGTTAAATAGTAATTATAAGCACGGACTTTAGATAAGAAATTCGAATGGGCTCCATTTTCAATAGGAACACGATTAAAGTTTGACTATATAGGTATATATTTAATTATTTTGTGAAATAAGATTATCAAATCATAGAACATTAATTAATAATATTAGCCTCAAGCCAGCTCTATACTATAGATGTGCCGTGGTTCGTGGTCCACACTATACTATAATACTCTAAGGGCTGTTCTTACAATATCCGGTTAAAGTTAACGGCACTTGGCTGGTGGAGTTCTGTGAGTAATAAAATCTGTTGTCTGTCGGTTAGCGTTAACCGACACTTAACCACGGGAATAGTTAAACCCAGACTAAGGGTCCATACTGTATACTACATGATAAGTGATAATAATAATTATTTCACGGAAGTTAATATTAATATACATAATAAATTACCGGTGATTGTGGGTGGGTCATAACTCATACAGTAATAAGTGATATATAGGTATTCAGCAGTGCAAAACTAGAGAAAAAAAAATTAAAGAAAAAAGAAAAAAAAATGTTTTGGCTACTGCACTGCTACAGTCTAAATGGTTGAGTACCCACTAACTACATCGTATGTGCATACAAAGTATGATGATGGCTTAAAACCGCTAACGTTGACAGCCGATGTAAAGAACTCGAATCGCTGCCTTTTATTAACATAATAAATTATAGTAATTGCGATTGAATGTGTACCATTGAAGAATTCGAAAAGGCCATTCCTATATCATTATATTTTACTCGTTGACAATAAGAGTACCAACATGACTGACGTCCACTATAGTATTATATTGTATACCCGTGTGTATTTGTATTAGATTATATGGAATTACAAAAATCTCAGTAAAAAAAATCCCTGGAATAAAAATACGACTTATACTTGCTTTTTTCTAACCCAATACTGCCATACTTATGACCATTGAAAATATTGACTATATTAAACCATAACTATTAGGTTATATGTTATATTGTTACCAATAATATACCTGAATAGGTCCTATAGTAGGAAATTGATGGGATGAAATTGTTAAGCGAAACAAATACTCGGTCTTCTGTAAATTCAAAGTAGGTATGTTCTATTATATATTTCGATAAACTATATTAGCGTAAATAAATGCCTGGCATAACTTTTACAAATAATCATCTAAAAATGTTAAATCTCTATAGTCATCTTTTTTTAAATAACAACAAACAATCATCTAAATCAGCGGCTCTTAAACTGTAGTCAACGGCAGCCTGGGGGACCACAACGGGTTCTATCTAAAAATAAAAATTTTCAATTTTTATGAAAAATTATGTGTAACAAAAATAATTATAAAAGTGTAAGTTTTTATGCACCCACTTAAAATAACTTATAATAAGTTTTAAAAAAGTCGTAAAAAAAAGGTATTCAAAAGAAAATTGGTAGGGGTCAGAGGGCTACAATACCTAAAAGTCTTCCATCGGGGATCAGTACTTGCCAGAAGGTTAAGAACCACTAATCTACATTGTGGATTTTATTAAGTAAAAAAAATTGTTTTTTCTTTTCTTGTTTTATATTATATAAATTAGTAATAAATAATAAGTAATTTATGAATAGCTATAAATACAGTATACGAGGACCCTACTGCAATATCGAAATAAATGTTATTAGATATTGGTAGAAATATTTAAAACATGATTTGACTGAATGCAACTTTAATAAATATAAAAACCACGTCAATTCAAGTAAGCACAGTTAAACTTGCCGAGCTTATATGTCTTATCTAGACAATGAAATCGTAAATGTAGTATATTTCCCTTTTGTTACAGCAATTTTCTATTCACTTATTGAAGTTTTTATAATTAATTTTTCCAAACACACTTTGAAGTGAAAAATACTGAACCAACCCCTCAAAATAATACTATAGCCTACATATTATTTTTACAGATTTCGTGGAATAGCAAAGAAAGAGAAAGCTCTGTCCACGGTGTAACAGTTGGGCGCACGCGTGCGCGCGTCCCCAAAATCTCAGCTCAATTGATTTTCGTTTATTTACACAGAATGGCGTGTACCTATTTATACATTTAAAGGACCCTGGACTTCTGGGAATTTTGTTGTCATGGTTACATCTATACTGAACGCGTCTGATATCACATGTAGATTGTACAATTTGTACAGCGCTATGTTTATTTATGTATATTATAATATTAATATAAATAATATAAATAATACTTATACTAATATTCTTAATTTATTATTATTATTATTATATTATTTTTTTTTACTTTATCCGCGTTATAATGTTACCTAATCAAATACCACCACTCCTTAACATATTAAATTTACCTAATATGAGTATAATTTAATTAAATTGTTTGGATATTAACCCAAAACCCAAAAATGATAAGCGAGTTTGTATCCTAAAGGATACTAGCTACTTTAAAAAAATTGTAATCATAATTTATAGGTATTGATTATAGTAGTCAGTGAATTGCCACTTGAAGAATGAAATATAAAAGCTTCTAATAAAATAAATTTATATTTTTTTTGTATTATTATTGTTATTATTATTATTATTATTCAGGAGAATCCGCGAAAATATAGGCCATTGGGTGTGGAGAGGTACGGTAGGGTGGTTATTCTATAGGTTTAGCAGGTTTTTATGTTGAAAGGATTGTAACACGGGTTTGTGGCAAGGATGTGTTGCTAAAACCCGAGTGGTCAGTGGTCACACATCCAGGAGCTTGCAACGACGGCCCCGGTACACGTACTGCTGCTATTTAATCTATTCTGTGCTACAGCGCCTCAGTGCCTCACCAACCCACTATAAGTTTATTGCAGGATTGCAGATACAAATACAGGTGGCATTCTGCTGAAAATCGACAGGTGGCAATTGACCTAGTTTAATTGCACTTTTAGAATATCTTAAATGATCGTTGAAAAATATATTTATTTAGATGATATAAATGAAAATAATTTGTAAAGATGATTCCCATAGTCAAGTTAAGAATAAAAAAAACAGTAACATTCTTTATTGTATAAGACAAACTAAATGGGAGTATTAGCCCCTTCCAACTAAACATTTTAAATTGCTGTTATGAAGTAACTGAATATTAAGTTTTCAAAGTTTTCTAACGAGAAACAAAAACTGAATGAATATAAATCGAAATAAAAATTCTATGGTTCTAAATGATTACAGCTCAATAACAATTATATTTTAAATATTTTAAAAAATATGTCATGTCTAGAAAATACTAATATAACTATTTTGATGAAATTTTAAAGTCTCTACAGTCATTCCTCTCTGAATTACAACAAAACAACAAGTTGCTTTTGTCAATAATGTATAAGTTTATATATTTTGAGTGAAATATATTCTTGATTTTCACAACATTTTCATTAGATTTTCCAAATTATTTAGAAACGATCTAGTAGAGATAGACGTATATTCGATGGCATTTTTATTTCCTGTGGAAAATCAAATTCAATGTTGGAGATCCAGAAATCTGCAGTGGCGATAGAGAGATATATAAATAAAAGAAATAAGAAAAAAGTAAAATATTAAATGATTTGATTAGATTTAAATTTCAGATTTATTGTAATTTCATGATATTACAAATTAATTTCAGATTGATCATCACAAAAGTCAATAATACATCGGTAAAATAAATTTAAATTAGTCTTAAAGACTATTTATTTAACAAATACCTATGAGAAATTGTTTGTAACTGCACTTTGTGTAAGACTATAGAGTTCATAGTTTTAAATGTAAAATATCTTAGTTTTTTATCATGGCGTGATACTGTAATTTAAATACACAACTCATACTTATGAACTATAGGTACATACAGGGGCGGCTTGTTATAAAAATACTAGGAGCTACTGCTCCTGTCTCGAAAATCGGGAAACAAAATGTTTTAAGTTTAACATGCAGGTTTACTTATAATTCATAACAGGAGATCATTCAAGTAAAAAATAAGTGTATCTATATCATAAATTGTAAAAGTTAATGAAAAATTTAACTAAAGAAGAACCTAAACATATTACATAGGTCCTAGTAAATGTAGTTGGTGGGTGGGTGGGTGGGTTGTTTATAAGCTTGCTCCTTGAGTTATGAAGACTCAAGCCGCCACTGGGTACATAACATTAATTTCAAATTGGTAAAGTAAAATTAGTGAAGATAAAATTAACATAACAAAAACTAATGAAGCGGATATGGGCTTAATAACAGGGTGTTGAATAAGTGTATTGAATATTGTAGGTACATAATATATCCAATACGGACGAGAATTAATTTTAAATATGAAATAATTGTAATTTCTAAGGCTTATTTTTTAAATATTTATCGTAAAAAATATGTAGTTGAT